TGTTTTCATCTTTATTGTATCTCGTTTCGAAACCTCGCGATTCTTTAACATGTAAATAAAGAAAATATTATTCGAGTTGAGCCGCTCCGCCCTSGGCTGTTACTGGGGGGGGGGCACGGTGTTTCCGACCGCCCCCCCTGCACCGCGGGGGCAAATCCCCCCCTCTGGCCCCGGCTTTGCCCCCCTTTAGGGGGCAGCAACAGCCCCCCCCAAGGTGCCAAACAGGGCTCGGGGTCTTGGCCTTGGGGCTCTTGTTGCCCCCAGCCTTGCTSTGGGGCCAGTGTTCCCCCTGTGGGGACACCCTCCCCCAGGGTCCCTCCTTGCCCATGGGCCCCTCTCTGGGCCCTTGGGTGCTCTAAGCTGGGGACAGAGCGGGTGGCACCTCCTAGGGTGCCCGAACAGCCATGCGCTGCAGGTGCCCCTGGGCAAAAACCGGGCCTAGAGGTTAGGTCTGAGCTGTGGGGGGCAGTTAGGGACATGGGCAGGGTTAGGGTTGGGGGGAGGCTTAGGGGGTCAGTACTGGAGAGCGGGGCTTAAAGGGCTCGGGGAGGGTTTAAGAGCTCAGTATTAGAGTCAGGCTTAGGGTCGGGGGGAGGGTTAAGGGCTYGGGGAGGATTAGGGGCTCAGTATTAGAGTCAGGATTAGGGTTGTGGGCAGGGTTTAAGGATTTGGGGAGAGTTGGGGGCTCAGTACTGGAGGGCAGGGTTAGGATCAGAGTCGTGGGGAGGGTTTAAGTACTTGGGGAAGGTTAAGGGCTCAGGGAGGGTTAAGGGCTCGGTCCTGGAGAGCAGGGTTTAAGGACTCGGGGAGGGTTAAGATCAGTACTGGAGGACAGGGTTTAAGGGCTTGGGGAGGGTTAGGGGCTCAGTACTAGAGGGCAGGACTAAGGATGTGGGGAGGGTTAAGGGCTCAGGACTGGAGTCAGGGTTAGGGTCAGGCAGAGGGTTAAGGGCTCGGTTCTGGAGAGCTGGGTTTAAGGACTTGGGGTGGGATGAGGACTCAGGACTGGAGTCAGGGTGAGGGTTGTGGGCAGGGTTAAGGGCCCGGGGGTTCAGGTCTCAGTTCTGGAGGGCAGGGCTAGGGGCAGGGGGAGGGTTGGGGGCTTGGGGAGGGTTAAGGTCTCAGCACTGGGGTCAGCGTTAGGGGCTCAGCACTTGGGGGGCAGCGTTAGGGGCTCAGCACTGGCTTCATCAAGCCACGGGAGCCACCAGGGAGCGGGGCAGGACCCGGCGCGACGGGGAGGGAAGCGGGACACCCGTCAGCACCGGCACACGGAGGCCGCCCGCGCWGAGGTGCCACCCGTGTCCGAGCAGGGCCGGCCCCGGCGTCCCGGCCCCTCCGCTCACGGGTCTTGCTGCGCCGGTAGATGAGGAGCCCCAGGGCCAACCCCAAGGGCCCCAGCACCAGCCCGCCCACTCCCGTGAGCATCTTGCTCCGGCCCGTGTCCGACTGGGCCCCTGTGGGGAGCAGAGCAGAGGGTGAGGCTGGAGGCACCCGCTGGCTCGGGCTGCGCGAGGAGGACGCGGGGTCTCACCCCARKYGTGYGTGAGCGGGCGCTCCAGGCTCRCGTGCTCCACGTGGCAGGTGTAGGTGTCCCCGGCCTGCGGGCTGGTCTCCAGCATCACCAGCACTTGGTAGGTCCAGTCTCCGTTCTGGATCACGTCCGTGGCCACCACGCGCTCCGTCTCCTCCCGCCCGTTCTTGAACCACTTCACCTCGATCTCCGGCGGGTAGAAATCCATGACGGCGCAGACCAGCCTGTCCGTTCGGGGCAGCGACCCCGACTGCACGGGGTAAATTTCCACCTCGGGCTGAACTGGAAGGAAAGGGGCAGGACTGAGCTGGCCCGGGTACCCACGTCCCACCCCAACCTCAGGGGTGGCCCCGTGTCCTCGAGGCCCGGCCTCAACCGCTGCCTCCATGACGGGCTCTGGGTGGCCTCACCTCTCCTCCGCACGGTGTAGGGGCTCCAAATGCGGGCGTTGTGCCGGCACACGGCGTCCACCTCAGCCCGTCTCTTCTGGAGCAGGTCGGCCTGCCCGTTGAGGTACTCGGCGTCGGGCTGGCCCAGGGCGCTGTCGGCCACGTAGGCCCCCACGTCGCTGTCGAAGTGCAGGAAGGGCCGCCCGTTGTAGAGGTACCTCTCGAGCAGCTTCACGCGCTCGGTGCCGTTGAGGTAGCGGCACTCGGACCTCCGTATCTCCTGGAAATAGCCTGGGGCGCGGACGGAGGCAGCTCGAGGGGGTCCACGTTGCCCACGTGTGCTCCCCAGGGGGGCTGTGGGGGTCCCAGCACCGCTGCCTGTGGGTAGTGAGGGCACGGGGACACCGCGGAGGCCCCAAACCGAGGGCCTCACAGGGTGTCTGCAGGATCTGACCCATCCGCTGTCCCCCCTCAACCGTGGGGCTCCACTCACCTGTGGTCTCCTCACCACGAGCCCCACAGGCTCCCAGCGCCACCAGCAGCCCCAGCACCACCCCAGCCCAGCACCTGCCGGCCCCCCGCGCGCGGCCGCTCCCCATGGCTGCTCCAGAGGAGGCTGCGGAGGCGCCGGAGGCCAAGGGAGCCCGAGGAGGCTGGAATCACCGGCCAGCGAGTGGCGGCACTGGGAGCATCACTGGGAGCATCACTGGTCGCCAGGCAGAGCCTCTCGGGGCTCCCCAGGGCGCTCGGTGCTGCCGCTCTGCCTGGGAGCAGGTGAGTCAGCGCGGGGGCTCCCTGCCATTGGCTGGGCCCCGCGCSGGGGCAGAAGGGGAAGGACATCCTCACACCGCGGGTCACCAGCGTGGGGCTCCACGTCCCCAAAAGTGTCACCCGGCCCGGCCTGTTCTTGCTGCCCAGGGCGGCTGGAGGCTGAGGCAGCCCCGCTGGTCCCGCGGGGCCTGGGGGGACGCGGGGCAGGTGGAATGTGGGGCCCCTGAGTCCCACGGTCCATCCTGCTGGTGCCCCCCTTGCCCAGACCCCTGTATCCAGCACCGGGATAGGGAGACATCATCAATCACGGAAGGGTTGAGGGTGGCACCTCCAACCCCTTTGGCCCAGAAGGATCCTGCGCAGGAGCGCGGCCCTTCATCCCCATCACTGATGAAGAAGTTGGACACGACCGGACCCAGTTGGGACCCCAGGCCCACCGCTAGGTCCCGGCCTCCAATTGGGCTCCCCGGCTCTGATCCCGACCCTCCGAGCTCTGCCCGTCAGCCAGTTCTCGGTGCGCCTCGCGGCTGAGGAGGGGGCCACTAGCGGGTCCGCGCGGCGGTGGCTTCTTGCGCCCTGCTGCTTGTGGTGGCCCCTCTGTCGCCGCCCGCTCRGGCGAGGGGCAGCGAGCGGCGGCGTCAACCGGGAAGAGCCGGGTCCCGCGGGGCTCCCGGTGACACTTGTCCTGGGCTCCGAGCTCCTGGAGCGAGCTCAGTGAGAGCAACCCCTGCCCCACAGCGCCCACTGCCCCTCCGCCCCACAGAGACCCTCGGGGGGTGACTGGGGCGACTGGGCTCCCTTGTGGCACCCGCGTGTCGGCGCTGCAGGGTGCTCCGCGCTGCCGCTCTGCCTGCACACAGCTGAGTCAGCGCGGGGCTTCCCTCCTAGAGGCTGAGTACCCGGCGGCGGGGAGGACGCGGAGGCCGGGGGGGCCTCGTAGGGATCGCGGATCGACGGCGCGGCCCCGTAGGGATCACCCGGCCCGTCCTGCTCCCGGCGCCTGCCGCCATGGCCGGAGGATGGGGCGTCCTGCTGGCCCTGCTGGCCCTGCAGGGCACGGGGGCTGTGAAGGGTGAGTGCGGGCAGGCGGACGGGGGGGCGGCGGGTTGGGGGTGGATGTGGGGCACGGTGTGGGCGTGGCATGGGGGCAGCAGGGCAGGATTGGGGCATGAATCCCCCCCTCCAAGCTCCTTTCCCCTACAAGTGCCCCGGCGGTGGCACCCCGTGACCGTCCCCTTGTGGTGGCTCTGAGGTCCTCAACCAAGATGGGGGGCACCGTGACCCCGAGGGTCCCCGCCCTATCCCACAGCAAGTTTGGGACAGGCCACGTCTCTGTGTCCCCTCAGCCTGGCCTGTCACTGGCACCGGCCTCAGGGACCTCCAAGGGGAACCCACAGGGACCCATGGGCAGCCCCACAGCTGCCCCTCACGTCTGTCCCTTCCCAGTTGGGAATGTGATGCTCCAGGTTGACTTGTACCAGCGGGCCGAGTCGCTGCAGCAGGAGGGCGGGCAGTACCTGTTCAGCTTCGACGGGGACGAGATGTTCCACGTGGACCTGCAGAAGATGGAGACCCGCTGGCGCCTCCCCGAGTTCGGGCAGTTCACCAGCTTCAAGGCCCAGGCAGCCATGCAGCACATGGCCGCCGAGAAGCAGCACATGGAGCTCTTGATGCTGAGGAGTAACCGCTCCCAGGGGACCATCGGTAACAACCCCGTCGCGGGGTCCCCTCTGGACGGTGTCCCTGGGTGGGATGCCTGGGCTGTGGGGCTCGCTGGGGCCTTCTCCACCAGCAGCAGCCCCACGTACTTGGGGTCACGTTGACCTCAGCAGTGGGGCGCGAGTGGCACTAACACCTCCTCCCTGACTCCCCAGAGCCACCTGAGGTCACAGTCTTCTCTGAGGACCCTGTGGAGCTGGGTGACCCCAACGTTCTCATCTGCTACGTGGACAAGTTCTGGCCATCCGTGATCAACATCACGTGGCTGAAGAACGGGCAGGAGGTGGTGGACGGCGTCTTCGAGACCGTTTACTACCTACGGGAGGATGACACCTTCCGCAAGTTCTCCTACCTGCCCTTCGTGCCCACGCGGGGCGACTACTACGACTGCCGGGTGGAGCACTGGGGGCTGCCCAAGGCCCTGCTCAAGCACTGGGGTGAGCGCGGGGGCCAGAGCAGGGCCTGGACACCTGAGTCCTCCCCCGTGCTGGGCGGCCACGGCCTTGGGCTCCTGGCCTCACTGCATGCCTCGTCTCCCCACAGAGCCCCAGGTGCCGCTGCCCGTGTCCGAGAGCACCGAGACGCTGGTGTGCGCCCTGGGCCTGGCCGTGGGCATCGTGGGCATCATCGCGGGCACCGTCCTCATCATCAAGGCCATGAAGATGAACAGCGGCCGCAACGCGCGGGGCCCCCTGTGAGCGGGCAGAGCCCTCGGCTCCCTGCCCGCCCCACGGCCGGACGCGTGCGCCCCTCGCTGTGCCGTGCTGGGAGCCGCTCATCCCAGCGTGCCCAGCGTGTGACGTGCACCCCGCTAGACCCTGTCAGTGCCTCCCTCGCCCGTGACCTCTACGTGTCGACCCGACAGACANTCGCGGGCACCGTCCTCATCATCAAGGCCATGAAGATGAACAGCGGCCGCAACGCGCGGGGCCCCCTGTGAGCGGGCAGAGCCCTCGGCTCCCTGGTGGCCCCCACAGCCCGACCTCCTGCACAACCAGCCAGCCCTCCCTGTCATGGGCCAGGTCCGTGCCCCACGGCCCGACCCTCTGCCCCACGGCTCAGCCCTGTGCCCCGCATCCCGACCCTCTGCCCCATGGCCCAACCTCAGGGCCCATGTCCAGCAGTGTCGCACCCCACATCCCACACGGGTGCCTCCCAGCCCTGAGCCCCACACGCCACCACTCCCCTTCGCCAGCGTCGCCCTCGGCCGGCCCGCCCTGCCCCGTGGGCGCCGCGGGGCTCCCAAGCAGCAGTAAAGGTGCTGGTGGCCACACCGCTGAACCTGCCGCGCGCCGTGGGCTCTGTGCGGGACCTGCCGCCGTGGGGCACTGGGGCGGGCAGCGGGCAGGCGGGCATACCCGCGGCCGGGTGTGTGCCCTGGTGCATGGGGTGAGTGCCGGGGTGGGGGGACACAGGGCAATGCAGGAGGCACCAGTTTCATGGTCAACACTGAGGGGTGCCCCTACCCAGGACCCCGCTCACTGCCAGCCCCACCGTGGCCGGATACGGGCAGTGGGACCCTCTGAGACCCTTCGCCCCGTCCCCTGCTCCCTCCCTATCCCCACTCCAGCCTGGACGGGGGCAGAGCACCCTGAGCCCCTCCCACACCACGAGCTCTTCGTCCTGTCCCCCTTCCCCAACGTGCTCCGGCCGCCCATCAACACGGGTGCTGGGGGTCCCCGGTGAGCGTCTGGGTCCCCATCGCCAGCCCCGTGCGCCCCCCTGCACCCCTGCCCCACAAGGCAGCGGAGCCGCCGCGTAGCGGTAGACTTTATTAGGAAGAGCCGGAACAGTCAAGGGGCTTGGGAGGGCCCCTCGCCGGGGCACAGGGCACTGCCAGGGCCGGGGAGCGGCGAGCAGGTCGAGCCGGGACGGGGGCACGTCGGGGGCATCACAGGGAACAGGCGGCTCCAGGACGGGGCAGCGGCGGGCGGAGCGGGCGGGCGCGGGCCCGGGAGGAGGCTGGGAATTGCTGGACGTGGAGGCGGGGTGGCCGTGAAGCCCACGCACCACAGCTAGTTCAGGAGCCCTGTGGGGAGAGAGTGGGGTTGGAAGAGGGAGCACAAGCGGCGCCGGGGGCCCCAGTGTCCCCAGGGGGTCGGCGTGCGGCACACGCGCTCACCCGCCCGGGCCACGCAGCCCCCGGCGAGCACCGAGGGGCGGCCGGCGCAGGGCACGGGTGAGCAGGGCTGCGGGAGCCCGACGTTACCTGCGGGCTGCGGAACGGCGCGTCCTGAAACGCAGAAAGGCAACGTCAGCGCGGGGGCAGGGGCGGCCGCGCGGCGGCGACCAAGAGCAGCCCCGGCCCCACAGGCAGGAGGGCTCCTCGACCGCTGTCCCCAAGCCCCCTGTCCCTCCACTCACCCTTCTTGCTGCGCAGGTAGAGGAAGAGCCCCAGCGCCAGGAAGATGAGCCCCAGCACCAGCCCGCCCACTCCCGTGAGCATCTTGCTCCGGCCCGTGTCCGACTGGGCCCCTGTGGGGAGCAGAGCAGAGGGTGAGGCTGGAGGCGCCCGCTGGCTCGGGCTGCGCGAGGAGGACGCGGGGTCTCACCCCARKYGTGYGTGAGCGGGCGCTCCAGGCTCACGTGCTCCACGTGGCAGGTGTAGGTGTCCCCGGCCTGCGGGCTGGTCTCCAGCATCACCAGCACTTGGTAGGTCCAGTCTCCGTTCTGGATCACGTCCGTGGCCACCACACGCTCCGTCTCCTCCCGCCCGTTCTTGAACCACTTCACCTCGATCTCCGGTGGGTAAAACCCCGTCACGTAGCAGACCAGCCTGTCCGTTTGGGGCAGCGAGCCCGACTGCATGGGGGAGACCATCACCTTGGGCTGAACTGGAGGAGAGCAGAGGAGCCGCTTTGAGCTCGGAGAGCGCCATGGGCCACCCAGCAGCGGGTCGGCGCCTGGCGCAGGGCAGGGCCCTGCGCTTCCCCAAGCAGCACGTGCCCAGGGCGGGCGCGAGGGACCCTGTCGCGACGGGGCACGGACACCCCCTCCCACGAGCCCGGCAGGCAGGCTTGGCGCCAGCCTCCGGGCGTCCCCCCTGCGGCGCAGAGGGTGCTGGGGTGTCCCGGCGCTGCCACCGCCAGGGCTCTGGCACGCACTCACCTCTCCTCTCCACAGTGAAAGGGCTCRCCACCCCATAGTTGTGCCGGCAGAACGTGTCCACCTCAGCCCGGTTCTGCTCAATGAAGTCTGTTTGGCTGTTCCAGTATCTGGCAGTTGGCTCACCCAGGGGGATGTCGGCCACGTAGACCCCCACGTCGCTGTCGAAGTGCAGCCACCGCTGCCCATTGTAGATGAACCAAATAAGAAGTCTCACCCTCTCGGTGCCATTGAGGTAGTGGCACTCAGCTTTAGCCAACTCCTGGAAAAACCCTGTTGTGCAGACAGCGTCAGGTCAGGGTACCCCACATGAGCCTCCCCAGGCACCCCCAGCCCCCAGGGGGGTTTTGGGGGGTCCCAGCACCGCTGCCCATGGGTAGTGAGGACATAGGGACTGAGGGCCTCACTGCGGGATCTGACCTATCCGCTGTCCCCCCGCCACTGCGGGACTCCACTCACCTGTGGTCTCCTCTCCACGAGCCCCACAGACTCCCAGCACCGCCAGCAGCCCCAGCACCACCCCAGCCCAGCACCTGCCGGCCCCCCGCGCGCGGCCGCTCCCCATGGCTGCTCCAGAGGAGGCTGCGGAGGCACCGGAGCCCAAGCGAACCCCGTGCTGCCAGCTCGGGGTCTGAGCCCGGGTCCTCCCAGCACCAGGACGGGGAGTCCCCAGCGAGGACCAGTGAGCAGTGGCGCCGGGCAGCGTCAGCCGTCACCAGGCAGAGCCGCGACCTGCAGGGCTCCCGCTCACACTTGTCCCGGCCCCCGAGCAAGGCTCTGGGAGAGACTTCAAGCAGGGCTGCCAGGCCCCGCCAGCACAGCAAGGCCCCTGCCCCATGGTGACCACTGCCCCTCCGACCCCCAGAGCCCTCCCAAGGGGTGGCCGAGGCCTGAGGGTGACAGAGCTCCCCCGTGGGGCCCCCGTGGGGCGCCCCATGTCTGTCTGCTCCGCAGGGTGCTCGGTGCTGCCGCTCTGCCTGGGAACGGGTGAGTCAGCGCGGGGGCTCCCTCCCATTGGCTGAGCGCTGCAGCGGGGTGGGGTGGGGGGGCTGTCCCCAGGCCATGGGTCCCCAGCTCGGGGCTCCCCATCCCTGCGAGCGACGCCTGCCGCTCTCCTGCTCCCGCTCCTGCTGCCGCTGCCAGGAGAGGCCATGGCCGGAGGACGGAGTGTCCCGATGCTCCTGCTGGCCCTGCTGGCCCTGCAGCGCGTGGAGGCTGTGAAAGGTGCGTGGGGCAGGTTGGGCTGCGGGTCGAGGGCAGACCAAGGGCACAGGGGGCRGGCGGGGGGCTGGGGGCAGATCAGGGCTGGGCCATGGGGAGCTCTGGAGCACCTCAATGCAGGTCCCCTGGGTGGCTCCGGGCCCCCAGGGCAACGSGGGATCCCAGGGCAGGGGGTGCGTGAGGCGGCGCTGGGGGGCTCGCTCGGTGACCCTCCTTCCCTCTGGCCCCCACAAGTGCCCCAGCAGTGAGGCTCAGCTGGCACCCCATGACCATGGGCATCCTCTTGTGGTAGCTCTGAGGTCTCCACCCAAGGGGGTGCTGTGGGGGGCACCGTGACCCCCGGTGTCCCCACCCTGTCCCGCAGCAAGTCTGGGACAGGCCACGTCTCTGTGTCCCCTCAGCCTGGCCTGTCACTGGCCCTGGCCTCAGGGAGCGCCAAGGGGAACCCACAGGGACCCATGGGCAGCCCCACAGCTGCCCCTCACGTCTGTCCCTTCCCAGTTGGGAATGTGWTGTTCGAGTTTGACTTGTACCAGCGGGCTGAGACGCTGCAGCAGGAGGGCGGGCAGTTCATGTTCGACTTCGATGGGGACGAGATCTTCCACGTGGATCTGCAGAAGGCCGAGACCCGCTGGCGCCTACCTGAGTTCGGGGAGTTCGCCGGCTTCGAGGCCCAGGGAGCTCTGCAGAACATGGCTGTAATGAAACATAACATGGAGATGGACATAAAGAGGAGTAACCGCTCTCAGGGGACGATCGGTAACAACCCAGCGTGGCACTGCCAGTGCTTTCCCTCTGGCAGGGCCCTGCTGGGACAGTTGTTCTCATACCCTGGGACCCTGTCCCCTGGGGAGGCTGTGGGGCTCACCAGGGCCTTCTCTACCGGCAGCAGCCCCACATACTTGGGGTCACGTTGACCTCAGCAGTGGGGCGCGAGTGGCACTAACACCTCCTCCCTGACTCCCCAGAGCCACCTGAGGTCACAGTCTTCTCTGAGGACCCTGTGGAGCTGGGTGACCCCAACGTTCTCATCTGCTACGTGGACAAGTTCTGGCCATCCGTGATCAACATCACGTGGCTGAAGAACGGGCAGGAGGTGGTGGACGGCGTCTTCGAGACCGTTTACTACCTACGGGAGGATGACACCTTCCGCAAGTTCTCCTACCTGCCCTTCGTGCCCACGCGGGGCGACTACTACGACTGCCGGGTGGAGCACTGGGGGCTGCCCAAGGCCCTGCTCAAGCACTGGGGTGAGCGCGGGGGCCAGAGCAGGGCCTGGACACCTGAGTCCTCCCCCGTGCTGGGCGGCCACGGCCTTGGGCTCCTGGCCTCACTGCATGCCTCGTCTCCCCACAGAGCCCCAGGTGCCGCTGCCCGTGTCCGAGAGCACCGAGACGCTGGTGTGCGCCCTGGGCCTGGCCGTGGGCATCGTGGGCATCATCGCGGGCACCGTCCTCATCATCAAGGCCATGAAGATGAACAGCGGCCGCAACGCGCGGGGCCCCCTGTGAGCGGGCAGAGCCCTCGGCTCCCTGCCCGCCCCACGGCCGGACGCGTGCGCCCCTCGCTGTGCCGTGCTGGGAGCCGCTCATCCCAGCGTGCCCAGCGTGTGACGTGCACCCCGCTAGACCCYGTCAGTGCCTCCCTCGCCCGTGACCTCTACGTGTCGACCCGACAGACAGCTCCAGCGCTCAGCCCCGCTGCTGACCTGTCCCCGGGCTGGGCTGGGGACAGCGGTGGCTCTCAGCTCCACTCTGACTCACGGGAAACGGTGGCAGAGCCTGGGGGTCTGGCCTGGGATGAGCACCCAGCCCTCGCTGTAAGCGCACTGGGGCTGCCCTGTCCAGACCCCCCGGTCCCGTGGCCGCTTCCCGATGGGGGCCAAGCGTCTCCTCCCAGCCCAGATGTGGGGCCTTCCCTGCAGACCCTGCACACAACTCCACGCTGTCCATGCCTGCTCTGCTGCTTTGAGACTGCAATAAAGTGGGTTGGGGTTGATCCTGCTGCGCGACCCTCCTCGCACGTCCGTTCTCTGCTCTGTGCTGGGGGTGACTGCAGGAGGTGGCGGGTGACAGTGCTGAGACCTGGGGGCGGATGGGTCTTGGGTACAGAGCCATTCCCCGGGGATCTGTCTCCAGTCATTGAGCAGAGGGAAAGGTTACAGCAGCCTCAGGGCTCCCAGCAGCAGTAGGTGGGATCTCAGCTGGTCCCTGTCTCACCGTCCTGCCCCTATCTGTTGTCCAGGGCTCCTGTGAGGGCGCGCTGAGACCATGGGCACGTGGACGCAGCCAGGGAGGCCGTGGCGGGTGGCTGGGCTCTGAGACCAGGGGTGGGCGCTTGACGCCATGCAGGGCAAGGGGCTGGCTGAGGGATAACCCAGCCAGGGAACGGGTTCACGAGGTGGGTGCAGGACGTGGAGATGGTGGTGGTAGTGGGGTGCTCCGCAGATAAATGTCCTGTCAGGCTCTGCAGGGCCTGGCATGGCCTCCACACAGTCTGGCTTTGTGCTGGAGCCACACGTTGCGTGGGTGGTGGGTGTCCAAGCTCACRGGGCCAGGACGGGCTGAGCCCCATGTTCATGGGCAAGAAGAACTGGTCAAACTCTTGCCATAGAGGAGACGGCACGGGAGGAACCCCAGCCATACAAGGAGCAGGGACACCCGGGGATACAGCTGCGGGGAGGCGGGAGAGCCGGGAGTCGCTGTGTGGAGAAGGCAGCACAACAGCGCAGGGCCTGTTTCCTTTCCCGGGAGCTGAAGAGGAAGGTGCGGCTGGAACAGAAAGCGGATGATGCTCAACGGGGAGGATGTGAAACTCTGTAGCTTGCATGTGGGCAGCACGTCGGGGTCGCAGGGGGAGATCGGAGACGTTGCTTTCCGAGCTCCCCTTGCCCCAACAGGAAATGCCCCAGRACTGGAATGGAGCAGGATCACTGCGGTTGGTATGAAAGGGTCCAACCGAAAAGTACCTGGAGATACCTGGAGTAACTTAAGCAGGAGAACAAAATGGTCCCACCAGTAGCAGCAGCAACAGCCACTGCTGGCATCGGGCAGCAGTGCTGTCCTACTGATGGGGACCAGTTCAAGGCTCAGGCTGTAGAGGTGGGACCTGTGCTGCGAGGGAGCTCAGCTCTGGTCTGGGGACACAGCAGGGACAAGGGGGGCACTGGGAAGCCCTTGGAGACACGGCCCACGGGGTGGGCTCCTGTTGGGCGTGTGAAGCTTCTCTACCTTTCTGGCGCATCCTTCATCTCCTTCATCTCAGGAAGAAAGGAGGAGCTGAACATGGGCCAAAGTCCAGGAGGGAAAGGAGGGAGACCAACGTGTTTGGGAATCAGATAAGGTCACGCACGGGTTGCATGAAGCACCGCTTGTTCTGGGTGTCTTGGAGGTGTCCGGGGGGCTCCTGCCTCGGCCACGCAGAACCGGGAACAAACAGGGGCGCTTCCTAAAAGACCGGTGCCCCCAAACGTTGCTGCTGCCTACCCAAGGACTTGGAGGTACGGGGGAGCTGGAGCCACCCGTGGGCTGTCACAGCGACTCCTGTCTCAGCCATGCCACCCACAGCGCTCCCACAGGGACCCCAGCGTCCTGAGCTGGCACGGGTGGCTCCCACAGCGGAGCCGCTGCTGCTAAGAGAACGGCAGCTGCCCCGCGGCTGCCGGAGACTGGTGATGCCGCCCAGTGCTGCCTGCTGACTGGCTGGGCTGGGGTTACTGGCGGGCAGAGGCAGCAGGAACGGGGCCGCTTCCCGGAAATGCTGCCGTGCCCCGTGGGGGGAAGGGGGATCTTGGTGGAAATCCCCTGTCTGTGTGCGAGGAGGGGCAGAAGGACCGTCCGGAGCYGCCGGGGAGCTGCGACGCCTCGACCGAGGACGCCAAGCGCCGCGGCGTCGGGGAGCAGCGGCCAGGAAGGGCTCGCTGCCTCGGCACGCCGAGCGGCCGCAGCCACGGCCGCCAGACCCGGCCCAGACGCGGCGACGGCTCCTTCCGCCGGGCACCGGGCCGTGGCCAGGCGGCTCCCTGGAAACCGGCCCCCGCTCTAGTCAGTGGCTATGATGCCGAACGGAGGCGCGGAACGGCACATGTGCTGCAGAGCTCAGTGTTAGGTGACAGTGTCTGATGGGTGACTGGCGCGGCACAGCACAGGGTCCTGCAGCAGCCCTGGACACTCCGAGGCCACGTCCSACAAGTCGGTGGTGGCAACTGCAAGGTGCTGCGGGAGCCCTCACCCTCCTGGTGCGGGGTCCCCGCGACCACACCAGGGTCCCCAGCCTGGGATCTGCTGCCCCATGGTCTTCCCGAAGCTGCTGGAGGGTCTCTGCTTGTGCCCTGGGCCCCACACCCCCGGCTGCTGCCCCCACGCCGGCTTCCTTGTACCCTCCTGAGGGCTCAAAGGCGGCCGGGGAAGGGGGAACTGGGCGTGGTGATGATGCTAGGGACTTTCCACGAGAAAGGTTCCCCCCACCACCCAGCGCTGCTATGTCACCAGTTACTAGGAGAAAACTTGCTGGGGAGACCCGGGGCGGGTAGTTGCAGAGACGAGTCAGTGAGACAGCACCCTGCACTCCCAGTACAGCCCAGCCGCCCTCGGAATGGGACGCAGGCCAGGCCCTTCGGACTCAGTCAGCACTTTGCCCGCGCTGCAGGAGACTCCGAGTGGCTCCGTGCACACGTTTGCTCCCTCTGGGCCCTGCCCAGGGCTATCCCGTTCCCACCCAGTGGAGATAGAGGTTCACTCTGAAGTCAAACTGCGGAGCAGTAGCCGGCAAGCCTGGTCCCGGGCAAAGCAACGCTGCGAGCATCGTTAAGCCAGAAGAGCTTCATTCCGAATCCATCGCCCAGGACAGCTCAGGTTTTGGGGAAAGCTGGTGGGATTCGTTTCCCATTTCTGAGAGGAACCTGAACCTCCACCTAGAGGCCCCATGGCCTCCTAGTTGCGCTGCCGCCCTCTGGCCAACCCTGCGCCTTGCAAACAATAACCTCCAAAGAAGGAGACTCCACAACCTCTCTGGGCAGCCTGTTCCAGGGCTCTGTCACCCCCACAGTGAGGAAGTTCTTCCTCACATGTAGATGGCACTTCCTATGTTTCAACTTGTATCCATGAGATACAACAAGATCCAGCAAGAGTTTTGACACCGTTTCTCATAGTATCCTCTACTCAGCCCCGGTGAGGCCACTTCTGAAGTGCTGTGTCCAGTTCTGGCCTCCCTAGTACAAGAGGGACATGGAACTACTGGAGAGAGTCCATTGTGGGGCAAAAAAAAAAAAAAAAAAGATGATCAGAAGACTGGAACATCTATGCTATGAGGAGAGGCTGAGAAGACTGAACCTATTCAGCTGGAGAAGAGATGGCTGAGAGGGGATCTCAGTGCGTACAAAAATCTTAAGGGAGGGTGTCAAGAGGAGGGGGGTAGACTCTTCAGCTGTGGCCAGAGACAGGACAAGAGGCAATGGCCACACTGGAAGTTCTACCTGAACATGAGGAAAGACCTCCCAAACATGAGGAAAAACTTGACTCTGAGGGAGAGAGGGCACTGGAGTAGATTGCCCAGAGATATGCAGAGTCTCCTTCTCTGGAGATATTCCAAACTCATTGGGACATGATCTTGTGCACAGTGCTCGAGAGGACCCTCCTTGTGCAGTGGGGCTGGAGTAGATGTTCTCCAGAAGTCCATTCCAACCGCAATCATTCTGTGATTTGGCATGATATTCCCCATTAGCCTGCCCACACGATCCCAGTCAAGGGCCTGCCTCTCACCCGCTGACATAGCCCGGGGAGATGTCCGACAGCTGTAGCACACACTTATAGACCAAAAGCTTTGGGGAGAGCACAGCAATGGAAACAGGATACAGTTGCGTGAGGCAGAATGGTAGGATTTGGGCAATGATGATGGAGAACTGAGGAGGTACAGTGCTTGTCCCACCACGTCACAGCTTTTCCTCATAACACACACGCTGGCTTGGCTGCAGACACCATCTCTGCTGTGCAGTTTGGTGGCTCTTGGCCACGTTGAGGGCTCGGCAAGGAGCAGCAAGGTGCATTTTTCCCCTCTCCGGTATGCAGCCGAGCAGCCAAAGCGAGGCATCCCTGTACTCTGCCAGCACAGCCACCCTTTTGTCTCCGCTCCTTTTCCTGTCTCACGCAGGCACAGCGCAAACTCCAGCAGCGACTACAGTGATCACATTCTACCAACGTTAACAGCCTGGCTCCAGCCCTCGACCTCTTTGTGCGTGCCTGCGTCCAGCATTTTTTTCTGCACAAAGAGTACTTTAACTCGTGCTTTGGCCAGCCCCCCGCACCAGAAGTTTTTACAGCCATATTAACATTTGCTTGATACCCGAAGCCCGTTTCGGGGGGGCATTCTGACCAAAGTAAGCCTGGATTCTCCTCATGGAAAAAGACCCGTCCCGCTGCTCTCTTCAGCACTGGGGATGCCCTCCCGCCTCAGGCTCCACCGTGAAGCCCGCGTCCCTGTCCCCGTTGCCTGTGTGTCCCTGTCCCCATTTCCCTCCCCTGGGTGTCCCCGTCCCCCTTGTTYGTCCCCCTCCCCGCCTCAGAGCCCTCCGCGAGCGACCGTTGGGCGCCGTCCCTCCCTATCGCCTCAGGAGCGACCGTTACACGTGACGTCACTCCCACCCGTTCCCGCCCTTTTGCCGCGCCGCGTTCTGCCCGGCGACGAGTGACGTGGCGTCCTCCGATTGGCCGCGCCGCCGAAGGCGGGAAGGGGCGGTGGGGGTGCTGAGGCGAGTGTCGAAGCTGAGGCGAGGAGGGAGGCGCAGGGCAGCCATGACGGGCGGGAAGGCGGAGGAGGGCTGGGGGTTGATGGTGATGGGAGATTCTGTGAGGAAAATGGCAGAGGGAGTCAGGGCAGGGGATGGGATGGAGCCGTAGAGACGTCCTGGGAGGTATCAGGAGAGGAGCCATTGTGGGGTGTCTGTGAGGATGGATGTGAGGGGAAAAGAGGGTCTCTGGAGAGAATTAAGAGCGTTCAGAGTGTGAGCAGGGAAAAAGCAGAGCTTGGTGAGACAGGGCTGGGAGGAGAGGTGGGCAGCAGGGGGAAAAGGAGGGAGCACCACCTGGGAAAGGGTGTGGGGAAGGTGCTTCTGTTGCAAACTAGGGGATCTGTGGGCAAGGGCTAAGAGAAGAAGCAAGAGGCTTCAATGTTAGGAGGAGAAAACAGAAAACACACACAGACAAAAAGGGAGAGAGGGGAGACTGGGTGTTTTCTGGGGAGGGGGTTAGATTCTCAATTGTCCCAGGGAGCTACTAGAGGCTCCTTTAATAATAAAGAATCATGAAATCCTAATACAGTTTGGGGAAAAAGGGAAAAAATCCCAGTGACTTCATGGAGTGCAGACCTCTGGGACCAGTGGACAGGCTGCCAAGAGACTGCTCACCCTCCAGAGAGATGTCACAGGTTCGTCCCCCTTCCCCTTAGGTGTGAGGTGACCCGTGGCCCAGCGTAAGGGGAGACAAATCCCATCCCCATGCATGGGAACGAGCGTGGGGCCTCTGGCAGACAATATTGTCTCTCCATGAGCCGGGATCCTTACGGAGTGGCAGACAGAAGGGCACGCCAGCAGGGTTTCCCCCCAGCAGCCAAGATTTGGTTGCTTGTGTTTTCCTGGAGTTCATTTTAGCAATTTCTTTCTCTTTTAGCCTGCAAGACCTCGGTTAGAAGCCATTTAATGGCCTTTGGGGGCCCGGCTGTTTGTCAGCCCCTTCCGGCCAGAGCAGCCCCTTTGCAGGTGACTTTCTGTGCCTGTTTATTCCCTGCTCTCTCCCCGCCTTGGGAACTGCTTGTGTGGAGGAATTTCATGACAGAGGAGAAGCGTGGCAGGTCAGCCAGGGAAAGCGAGAGAAAGGAAACAAAACAAAAAAAAACAAAAACAAAACAACAACAACAAMAAAAAACCCAAGCCCCCAAAAGCAGCAAAATTATAGATGATATATTACAATACAACTTAAAAAATTACTTACAAAACATTATACAGGCCGCCGGCTCAGCACCAGGGGGCACGCCTCTGCTTTTTAAGAAAACAAAAAAGCAAAGACTGGTGCCCCTTTAAACATTTTTTTTAAAATCAGACGGCACCTGGAAAATAAATTTTTACTTTTTTTTTTCTTTTTTTCCTCCCCTCCCTCCTCCCCCAGGCACTGGCCTGGGTTAACCTCCGTGCAGAAATTCGCTTCTTGTTTGGGGCAAATCCAAAATTAGGCAGCAGGGACTGATACTGATGGTTGCATCCACTCCTTTAAATAATAATAATTAATTTAAAAATAATTAAAACAACAAAAATAAACACAGTAACAACACAGCGTCCTTCTTCCTTATCTCCTTCCACGGGCTAGGGACAGGGTTTGTGGAAGGATTTAAAAAGAAACAAAAACAACTTGTGACAAAGATGGTTTGCAATGACTAGAGGTAGGACTGATGATGGCGACTGGAACCCCCTTTAACTGGGGCAGCAGAGAAGAGGAGTAACACCCTAGCCTCACAGGGAACCTCCTCCAGATTAATTAATACTGATTAGCAAATAAGGGAGCTAGGTGAAAACTGCACTGTGACTTAGCCTTGCTGACATTAGGCTGGGCCAGACGAAGCTGGTCACGCTGCTGTCTGAGGAGCACGGAGACCTCTATTTCGAGCACATCAGAAGCAATTTGTCTGGAGACAAGATTTGTCCCCGGGTTTGATCCTTCTGGACCCCCTAGACCTGGCTTTGAGGCCCGAGGACAAGGACCGTGGCCGTGTGAAGGTCCAAGAGCTCCCTCAGGGCTAATCCCCATCACCTGCTAGTGGCGGCTGGCAGCCTGGCAGCGTCGGCTGCCACTCGCCTGCCCTGCAGAGCGATGGTCGCTTCGCTTCGCAGCTGCGCTAGTTGAGGGGTTCCCTGCCTTTGTGGAGCGGGCTCGAGGAGGAGCATGAAAAAGAAGCCCTGGAAGTGGTGGGAAGCAGAGCGCTGGAATTCGGATGGAGGTACTGGGAAGAAGGGAGCACTGATGGGCACCGAGGGAGGTAGCCAGTGGATCACTTAAATTTTTTCCTCTCTGTCTCTCTACATATTAAAATATAGATTTATTCTAATCATTAAAGTCTCTTTGGCATCTCTCCAGACCCTGGCCCCCGTGGGGGCGGCAGCGGCGGCACTTCGGTCTCGACGTGTGCGGACAGGCGCAGCACCTCCGCTCCTCGCAGCGGCAGGCGGACAGCGTGATGTGAAGGGGAGGCAAGTCCTGTTGCTTCGCCGCTGCACGAGCGGGGTGGCGATGTGGCACGGTTTGCCCCGCGGGAGGCCAGGGTATGGCAGGGAGGGTGACAATTGTAGGGGGTGGGTAGGGGGTGGAGGGCGGTTTGGTCCTAGCCGAGGAAACAGACTGGTCCCACCTYGAACCCGAATCTCTGGTTGGGCTCGCCAAAGTCCGTGACGCGCACGTCCAGCAGCGGGAGCTGCTCCATGCGGGGCGTGCTCACCTCTAGCACCGTCTGGCTGGAGCCCTTCCGTGCCTGCGGCCAGAAGGGGACAGGTAGAGGGCGGGTCAGGACCTGGAGGGCTCTCCCTCACGCAGAGCCATCCCTTTGTCTTTCTGCCCTGCTCTTAACCCAGTCACAACCCACTGCCCTCTTCTGGGGTACTGCTGTCCACCCCTTCCTCCCTGAACCCCAACATTTTGCTCCATCATCATCTGCAGAGCGCGGCAGCTTCTTTGCCCCGCTTCTCTGCCCCTCCATTCTGCCCTCCTAGTGCCATCTAGTGATTCCTCTGTCCTTGTTACCGCCTACGCCTTCAGCCGCCTTCTTACATCGACTTTCTGTCCTTGTCACCCATCTGTCCTTCCACTGACTTCCCYGCCGGCTGCCCCACCTGCTCCCCGTGCACCGCTCACCGCGCAGCCGTCCGTCACAGCTTTGATGTAGGGGCTGGTGTCATAGCTGAGCTCCTCCTCGTTGGCAGCCAGGAAGCGGAGGGCGTGCTGGTGGTCCCCGGCAGCGGTGCTGTGCCAGGCCACCGAGCGGTGGCAGTGGTACGTAAAGTTCTGGCGCGCAGAGACGCTGAGGAGCCGTAGGAAGGTCAGCTGCACCACGCCAAGGGGTTGGCTGTCCGAGTCCACGTAGGAGAACTGGGGGACGCAGGAGGAGGAGAGGAGTTAACAGGGATGGAGTGGGATGAACATGTGGGTAGGAAGGAGGATCAGAGGGTTTCTGCTGGGATCAAGACCCCATGTCAAGCAAGGGGACAGGCTGAGATGGGCTGATAGGTCCAAGGCCAAGCAGAGAACATTTTGTCTTCTCCTCAGGGAGGGAGAGACCTCCAGCTCTCCAAGACAACACAGGGGAAAGTGGCTGGGGACACATGGAAGCAACGGGGAGGCTGAAACCCTGACTCTGGGTGGCTGGAGAAGGCAGAGGGACCTGGCGGGGGTCTGTGTGGATCTCCACACAGGCTGTGGGTTCCTTGGACACCCCTTGGGATAGAGAACATGCGTAGGAGCTCCCATACGTCCCCGGCACCCTCACCTTGCTTCCCTCCCGGAACTGACTGAACCACTGCCGGGGTGTCTCCTTCTCCCATGTGGACATCTTCACCTGCAAGACGAGAGACAGCGATGAGCGACCGAGCGGCCGCCTCGCACCACGTAGAGCTGGGGTAGGTCCCCGCCATGAACCCCCTGCCCTTCCCTCACCTCCTGCATCTCTTTGCTGGGAAAGACGCAGGTCTCCCCGCCCGCGGTGAAGTTGCAGTAAACCTTGAAGGAGTCTCGGGCGCAGCCCTGGTTGGGGTCGATCCAGTACTCTCCTGCACCGGGAGGAGAAGGGTCAGCGCACTGGGTAGCGCTGCTGAGCTGAGCGCACGCCGCCGCATCTCACCCCGCTCCCCTCACCGTCTGGAAGGCCTGGGTGGCTGAGCTGCAGGTCCTGGCAGGTGCGGGCAGGATTGTCCTGGGTGCCCATGGGGCGCCGCAGCCCCTCAATCTCCTGCTTGAGGGAGTTGAGGGAGCCGAAGATCTCCTCCATGCCGTCCGCGTAGTCGCGAGCCGCCTCATCGGCGGCCGCCCGCTCTCCGTCTTCGCCCTCCTCCTCCTCCAAGAGTTTGCTGCCGTCGATGGAGCGTTTGCTCTTCTTGGGCAGCTGGATGGGCAGGGGCTGGATCACCTCTCCTGGGGGGCCCTGCAGGAGATACGGCGCCGTCCTGAGCACGGGGGGCTCTGGAGCCCCCACCCCAGGGCAATGGACCCTCCTGCTCTCAGGCCTTCCAAAACCGGGATATCCTTCCGTGTCTGTGCCTGGATGGTCTTCCTATGTCCTCCCCATCATCACCTCTGCAGCGGGAGGCAGCTTAGAGCCACTCACCGGGTGTCCGGGGGGTCCCGGAGGGCCACGTTCACCTTTGGGTCCCGCTTGGCCCTATAGGAAACAGACACAAAGGTCAATCTTGGAGAGGGGACGAACGTGGCGGGAGAGCTGGGGGACGCCGGCTCAGCCCTTACCATGGCTCCCTTGGCACCCTTGGGACCGGCGGGGCCCTGCAAAGCAAGACGGTCTGTTAGTGAGGCTCAGCAGCGGGGGCTGCCGCCCGCAGTGGGTGCCAGGTGGGCAACGGGCTGCGGGGAGAGGTTCAAGGTGAGGGGGTCACTCACTGGAAGTCCGGGAGGGCCAGAAGGGCCTATGGGTCCGGTAGCTCCGGGGATTCCCTGTATGACACGAGCAGAAGCTGGAGTTAGGAACGGGCAGCCCCATTCCCACCTCCCCAGCGCCCCCATCCCCACAGCCCCCCACAGCTGCCTCTGGTCCCCCCTGCCATGMCCCCCTSTTTTACACCCCCMCCTGCCTAGACACCCACGGCACCCCCTCAGCGTCCCACCCTTCCTCTCCCCGCCTCCGTTCCTCCCGTTCCCCAGGCCCCCCGCTCACCGTTTCTCCTTTCTGCCCCGTGGAGCCCTGGGGGCCGGGCAGACCCCGGTCTCCCTTCTCCCCCTGCTCTCCTGGCGGTCCGATCAAACCGATGAGACCAGGGTGACCCTGCGGAGACACAAGTGAAGACACGCGGGCGTGTGATGGGTGCCAGGCAATGCCAGCACTGGGTGGGCATACAGGAGCCTGCCCACTCCCCTCTGCCACGTCCCCACCCCTCACTCACCTTCTCTCCTTTGGCCCCAGTGTCACCTTTGAGGCCGGGGAGACCGGGGGGACCCTGCAGGGAGGCAAAGGAGGATAATTAGAGGTGGGGAGGATAGGGCAGGGCGTCCCACCATTGCGAGCTTCAGTGGGGGAGACGGGGGCCACACTCACCACTGGTCCTGGCGGCCCAGCCTGGCCCGTGGTGCCTGGTTTGCCTTGTTCTCCCTGTGCAGGTGGGTGGAGAGCGTGAGTCCCCGGCAGCCAGAGGAGATGCCACCACTAACCCGCGCCCGCCGGCACCAGGACGTAACCACTTACCACGGAGCCGGGCAGACCTCGGAGGCCATCGGGACCCTGCTTCCCAGCGGGTCCCTGGGGCCCCACGGGGCCGGTCTTGCCGGGAGCACCCACTATGCCTGGTTCTCCCTGTGGGCACAGAGGAACCGAGTGAGGCCAGGCCCGGAGGCGTGAAGAACTGTGACGACTGGGCCCTGGCTAGGAGCAGTGCCAACCTCCCCACTGCACCCAGGGCTTGTCACCCTGCTACGGTTGTGTCCCCTGCTGGCTTCAGCCAGGGGGTCACCTCCCTGGGACAGAGTCACTCACCTTGGCGCCCTTCTCGCCCTGACGCCCCTCAGGGCCGGGGGTGCCAGCAGGGCCCTACGGAGAGAAGCAACAGGGCAGTGAGGTGAAGGGACATGGCTGGGCAGGGGGCACAGGAGGGCTCGCCGGGCACTTACCCTCTTCCCCAGGGGCCCAGGAGGACCGTTCTCACCCGTCGGACCTGGAGAGCCCTAGGGAAGGAGAAAGAAAGGAGTCAAGGGAAGTGGCCTGATCCCGAAACCAGGGCGGAGAGGAACCGGAAGAGTTGGATCCAGGGGGGAGAACGCAGAGGGGTGGGGGGATCCCTGAGCTACGCCGGGCTGTTGGGGAGCAGGTCCATCGACCTCCAGGAGGAGGCCGGATATGGATTAGGCTCCGCTCTTCCCAATGCTCCCCGAGCAGTAGGGTAGATCCAGTCTGGACCTTGGACAGGGGGAGCTGATCTCAACATCCCTGGGGACCTTCCCCATCTGAAGTGTCAGCTGCCCACCCAGCAGGGCACTCACCGGCTCACCGGGCTCGCCGTCCTCCCCGCGCTCACCCTTGGCGCCGTCTTGACCCTGTTGGGAAGAGCCGAAGTCAGCAGGAGGCCCCACAGAGTCCTGAATCCCAACCCCGAACCCCAGGCTGCAGGAACCCCCCTGCAGAATTCCAGGCTAACGGAGCAGCCCAGAGGGGTGGGACGTGGGACTCACCCTGGGACCCATTTCACCTGGGGGTCCTGGATCGCCTGGAAAACCAACGGGACCCTGAAAGAGAGAGACATGAGYGTGAAGAGACCCCGGTGCCCAGGCTCTGACCACCCTCATCCCAGAGTCCTCCCACTTCCCACCTTCCATGAACAAACCCCATGTCCCCTGCGTCGCCCCGGGGGGCTGCGGCACTCACGGGGTTGCCCTTGGGCCCGTCGTCGCCAGGTGGTCCCTTCCCTCCAGGTGGTCCGGCCACTCCGGCGGCTCCAGCTTCTCCCTTCTCCCCTCGCTCTCCTCGCGGGCCCTGCCAGCCCAAAGAAGGGGGTCAGGGCACAGTCGGGGTGTCTCCATGTGGGGCTGGGGGCAGATTGGGACGGGGGGTGTGTCTGCCGTCACTCACCTTGACTCCTGGCTCCCCCTGGATACCCGGGGTCCCCGATTCACCAGGCTCCCCCTGAAATGGGAAGAGAGAGAGGTCAACCCCGCCATGCCGCCCTGTCCGTCCCCTGGTCCAAGCCCTCCAGAACAGCCCCTCGCTACGGAGACTGCGTCACTGCCCCGAGGTCTCCCGCCACCTCCGCTCCCCACCGGGGCAGCTCCTGTCCTGCCCGCGCTGCCAGGGACCTACCTTCTCGCCAGGAGGCCCCAGATTGCCAATACCTCCAGGAGGTCCTTGGGGTCCCTGCAAGGTGGCAAGAGCAGAGCTTGGCACCCCAGTGCCCCACACGGCAATGGGCACGGGGGGAAAGATGGGTGCCTTACGTCTGCTCCGGAGGGTCCAGCTGGGCCACGCGGGCCGGGAGGTCCAGGGGGGCCCTGTGGAGAGAAGGTGCTCAGGGAGGTGCACCCAGGGGGCACAGGAATGCAGCGGCGGGGGGCAGCGTCACTTACCATGGGACCCACGTCACCCGTCTCACCCTTCTCACCAGCCGGTCCTGGTAATCCCTAAGACGAGAGAGTGTGTGTGAACGTTGAACATGGGGGCACCGCTGGCATCGGGGCAGGGGGACAGACGGAGGAGGGCACAGACAGCGACGCGGGCTTAGACCAGCGGGGAGCTGGATGGCCCCAGTGCGTCCGACCACGTCTGGATCCAACGGGTGGGAGATGCCATCAAGCGATGTCGTAGGGGCAGACGGGGTACGTGGGGGGCACTCCCAATGGTCACGTCACCCACACACGCAATTGGGGACAGGCAGGACAGGGTGGGTGACACTCAGGACCCCGCTCGCCAAAGCCAGGCCGGGAGGGGAGTTGGGGCAGGGCGGATCTGCCCTGCTCACCTGCAGCCCGATGGGGCCGGGGGGCCCGTTGAAGCCCCGCGTCCCCTCGTCGCCCTTGGCTCCAAAGTGCCCCTGGGGACCGCGGGCACCCGGCTCCCCGTCGGCGCCCTGCGAGGGAGGAAGGAGCGTCAGGACAAGGCGTTGCCCACGGCGTTCCGTGAGCCAAGAGGGAACGGCTACCCCYCCATGAAGGCCGTCCTCGTTTGGTGCCACCCTCCCCAACTGCCCTGCTCCCAGGGGCGACGGCCCCCATCCCGCGTTGTGTCCCCAGCCCTGCCACCTCCCCACACTGAGTGACCCCGTGCGGGGGGGACGGCAGGCGGAGTCCCTCCCTGCCGGGTACTTACGGCCGCTCCGGGCTGCCCCACTGGCCCGATGGGCCCTGGAGGACCGGGAGGACCCTGCGAGGAAGAGGAGGAGTGAGCAAGGCTGGGGTGACCCGGGTGGAGGGGACAACGGGGGAGCGAGCGCGGCCGCCGGTCCCACTCACGTGCTCGCCCTTGTTGCCCTTGCTGCCCTTCTGGCCCGGCTCGCCCACCTCGCCCTGCGGGGAGAAGCGGGGGGTTAAGTACGGCTGGTACGAGGGGCGGCGGGACAGGGCCAGCGGCGCCAGGGCCTCACCTTGTCACCGTCCTCCCCAGGGCCGCCGGGGGGGCCGGCGGGGCCGGGGAGCCCCACGGGGCCCTGGACGCCGTCGCGGCCAGCAGGGCCCATGGGGCCTTTCTCGCCCTGCAGGGAGAGGGAGAGGGTTGGCGAGGGACGCAGGGGAGCATCCGCCTCCTGTTGCGGTCCTGGGCGGGCCGAGGACCCGGCCGTCCTGGCACCCACCACCCTCCCGCTCCCGTCCCCCCCACCCAGCACATCCCCTCCCAGCTACTCACWGGAACTCCTTTCTCTCCGGCAGGGCCCGGCGGCCCTTGCGGGCCCGGTCGCCCGGGGGGCCCCACAGGGCCACCTTGCCCGGGGCCACCTCTCTCTCCAGGGGAGCCCTGGGGGCGGGAGAGGGAGGATTAACCAAGGGGGATGGCGGAGTCACCGCAAGGGAGCACGCAGAGGGGGGCACTTACTGCGGGTCCCGGGGGGCCGGCCGGTCCTTCGTTGCCCTTCAGCCCTGGGCCGCCCTGCGGGAAGGGGAGAGGAGCGGGGGGGTCAGCGCCATGGAGGGTGCTGGGGGGGCTGATGGAGGTGGGGGGTTTCACTCACCGGGGTGCCGGGCAGGCCCCGCTCGCCGGGGAATCCCCGCAGGCCGGCGGGACCGTCCTTCCCGGGGGAGCCGATGGGCCCGGGGTCTCCCTAAGGCACAGGGAGGCAGAGGGTGAGATGGGGGGTGACCCCACAGCCCGAGCCCCACATTCATTCGTCTGGGGAGTGACTGCACCGCCCCAAGCCACCCCAGCCGCCCGCCCACCTCCTCACCTTGGTGCCCTCCTTGCCGGACGGTCCTGGCAGCCCCTGTTCTCCTGGGGGGCCAGGGGGGCCCGGGTGGCCTCTCTCCCCCATGGGGCCGGATTCACCAGCAGGTCCCTGGCGTACGAGATCAGAGAGAATCAGCACAACTGCCCGGGAACGCGGGCACCGGCCCAGCCCAGCAGAGCCCCCGACTCACCTGAGGTCCCACCACCCCTGGCGGACCCGGGGGGCCGGTCTTGCCTTGGAAACCCTGCGAGAGAGGAGAGAAGGGGGGCTCAGGACCCAGAGTAAGAGAGGGGGATCCCGTGTGCGGGAGCAACAAGTACCCAAGGATGAATGGGAGGGAGCGGAAGGAGGACACTCGTGTGTTTCGGGAGCAAACAGGGCACAGGATGGAGAGGACGGGAGAGCCCCTTGAGGGAAAGGGACCGCACAAGCATCGAGAGTGATAACTGGTTGTGTTGGGACACTTACGACTTCTCCTCGCTGCCCGGGGTGCCCGGGGAGCCCGTCCTTGCCGGGGGGACCCTGGAGGGAGAGGAGCACAAGTTGAGCAGCGCTGGAAGCACCCCGTGCATGGGGACAGACGGGGGACTCCGCTACTTACAGGGGGCCCTTTGGGGCCCGGGAAGCCGTTGGGCCCCTGCGGTCCTGGCAGCCCCTAGAAGGGAGAAGAGCAGGGCGGTTAGGGCAGGACGGGTGTCCCGGGGGGCACTCGCATCCTTCCGGGCAGCGCTGATTTGCTTGGAGCTCGTTAGCAGGGCAGGGCACCCGGCCCGAAACAGGCACCAAGCCGCTCGCGCTAGGGGTGGCCCACGGTGACGTGGCTGCGCACTGTGCCCGTGCCAGGCGGCCGCGGCCCGCGAGCGGACACTTACCCGCTCGCCTGGCGGGCCGTGGGGGCCGTCGCTGCCAGACGTGCCCTGTGGCAGCGAGGGAAGAGAGAGGGGAGAGGTTAGGGGCGCGGCGAGGGCTGGTGGGCGCCCTGCGCGCGTGGAAGGGAGCGCCCGAACGCCCGCGTGCGCCGGCTCTCCCCATCGCCACCACACCGACCTTGGCRCCTGACTTTCCGGTGGCTCCTCGTGGCCCGCGCTGGCCCCTGGGACCCTGAGGACGGAGACAGAGGTGGGTCAGGGGGTGCCCATGAGGCCCCCTGTCCCAGGAGGGTGCTGGGACCCCCGTCGCCGACAAGGGCCCCGCCGTGGAGCTTGGGGCTGCGGGAAGGGACCGAGCCCCCGGGCTCACGCCGCACTCACCGTGGGACCACGCTCGCCTCTGGGCCCCGACTTGCCCGACAGACCCTGAAGGGGACAACAGTTAGATACGCAGCGGGGTGACAGCCCAGGGACCTGCCCTGGGGACAGTGACCGCGCCGCTGCGGGGACCCCGGCAGGGCACAGGCACTCACCCGAGCGCCCTTCTCGCCGTTGCTGCCCGGGAATCCGGGGAAGCCCTGCGAGCCCTGCGGACCGAGAGCAAGGGGATGAGCGGCGCCTGGGGCTGGGCGGGCAGGGCCGCCCCGCCGAGCGCCACACTCACCTTGGGGCCCTGGCGTCCGGGGTATCCGGGCAGGCCCGGGACTCCCAGTTTCCCCTGTGAAGAGCAGAGATGTGGAATTATGGGGTGCAAGCTTCTCCCACTCTTGGCACCCCGTGTCCCCCCATAACCACTGTCCCTCTCACCTTCTCCCCGACCAGCCCGATGGGACCCGGGTCTCCGGTGGGGCCCGTCCGCCCTTTGGGACCCTCGGGCCCGTCCTCTCCGCGGGAGCCCGGCACGCCGATCTCGCCCTGCGGGAGCAGCCGGTCGGCGCGGCCTCGCCGGCACGGCGGCCTCGGCGGAGGCCGGGCCCCACGCGCGGCCGCCTTCACTCACCCGGTCTCCTTTGACGCCCATGTCCCCCTTGAAGCCGGGGAAACCTTCTTCGCCCTGCGGCAGGGAGGGAGAGGCTGCTACGGGCGCCCCGGGGACGGCGGGACCCGCCGGTGCGGGGCGCGCGGCAGCACACCTACCTTCTCCCCCTTGTGGCCTTTGAGCCCCCGAATGCCGTCCACGCCCTGCGGAAAGCGGCCGGCGAGTTAGGGGCGTCCCCCTGGCTCGAGGGGGCACCTGCAGCCCCCCCATCTTGGCGCCCCATGGGGGCACTGTTGGGTACCCGGCGCCCCTCGTTGCCCTCGGCCAGCGCTCACCTTGACTCCGCGGGGGCCCGGGTAGCCGATGGGGCCTTGGGGACCCGACGGGCCCTGTAGGGGACAGAGGGGTTTGGAGGCAGCGCCAGGGGCCGTTGGCGGGTTCGGACCCCGCGGGGTCGGGGCTGCATCCTGCACCCCCTGCGCCCCCGGCGCTCGGTCCYTTACCTGGTTGCCTTTGGTGCCGGGGGGTCCCTCCTTCCCGGGGTGACCCTGGTGAGACAAGAGCGGATGAGCGGCCTTGAAAGAGGACACGGGGGCGCGAGGACGGCGCGGTGGGAGCCCATGTCCCTGAGCCGTCCCCTCGCTGAGCGGGGCATCGTGGGGACAGCGGTGGCAACCGCCCGGTCGCGTGGCGTCGTCACAGGGCAGACGGACAGGACACGGTCACCGGGAAGGAGGTGGCACTTCCCGGCGCCCAGGGCCACCTCCCGGCACGTGCCACCGCCAGGGGCCATCACCTGGGCGCCCGGCGGGGACCGGGTACTCACCGGCGGCCCGTCGGAGCCGGGCATGCCCGGCAGGCCGGGCTTCCCTTGGGGGCCCTACGGGGAGAGAAGCCGGGGTCAGCGGCGGCGGTGCCGGCCGCGCGCCACACTCTCCCTGCCCCGGCGCGTGCTCCCATGCTCACCTTCTCACCGGGAGGTCCCGTAGCGCCCTGCGGGCCCGGCAGCCCCTGCAAAGCAGACGCAGCATGAGGGGGGCGCCCGGGGCGCTGGGCCGTGCTGGGGACRCGGGCCGCCCCGCGGGGCTGCTCACCTGGGTGCCCGGCGTCCCCTGCTGCCCGGGGGGGCCCGGCTCTCCTTGGGGCCCCTGTCACAGGGAGAGGTGACAAATGAGAGCTGCGTGGCCACCGGGTTGGGGGCCACCAGTGTCCCCAGTGGCTACCACGGGCAAGGGGGCCGCGGGGACGCTCGCAGCCGCCCCGACTCACCAGGTTGCCCTTGGGCCCGATGGGACCGTCCATGCCGCGAACGCCCTGCGGAGGAGACGCGCGCTGAGGCCGGGGCCGGCGGCGCCTTTGGGGACACGTCTGGGGACACGTTTGGGGACACGGCGGGGACGGCAGCGGGCTCAGGCACTTACCGGAGGGCCGGGGATGCCCGGGGGGCCTTTGGGGCCCAGCAAGCCTCGGGGGCCCTGTGGGGGCAGATGGGGTGTTAGAGGGGTAGGGGACCCCCCCAGGGTCCCCTTGTGGAGTCTCAGTGCCCAGCRCTGGCACCGGGACGTCACCGCCCGGCACTGGGACATAACCGTCCTGTGCCCCCTGCCCCGTACCGCTTCTCCGGGCAGTCCTCGGGGTCCCACGTCGCCGTCGTCGCCCTGCGGAGGCCCAAGCAGCGCCCCAGGGCGGTGAGCCCCGAACGGGGGCCCCGTCCTGCCCCCCCCCACTGCCCCCCAGCCACTCACCCTCTCGCCGTCCTCGCCGGGGGGGCCGGGCAGGCCCTGCGAGCCGGTGTCCCCCTGCGAGGAGACGAGCCCCGTGTCACCCCGCGGGCGCGGGGGGGTGGGAACGGGCGCCCCGGCTCGGCGCCGGCACGCGGGGCGCGCCAGGTAGCAGGGGCCTTGAGCGACAAGCGGCGCCGGGCGGGCGTCAATGCGCGCAGTGTGTGTGTGTGGCGGCGGCGCATGAATGGGCGCTCTGTGCGCCGGGCGGCCGGGCGCGACCGCGGCCCGCGGCGCCGGCGCCCGTGTTTGCTCAGGGCGGGGAGCCGGGGGCGCTCGGGACGGGACGGGGCCGCCGCGCGCGYGGGCAGGGGGATGCGCGGAGGGCTCCTGATGTGCCCTCCGTATAGGGATGTGCATAGGGGTCCGTCGGGGGTCCCCGTGTCCTCTGTATAGGGGCATGGGGACACGCAGAGGGGTCCATCAGGGTGTCCCTGCACCCTAGGTATAGGGATGTGTATAGGGGTCCGTCGGGGGTCCCCGTGTCCTCTGTATAGGGGCATGGGGACAGGCGGAGGGGTCCATCGGGGTGTCCCTGCACCCTATGCGTAGGGATGTGTATAGGGGTCCGTCGGGGGTCCCCGTGTCCTCTGTATAGGGGCATGGGGACAGGCGGAGGGGTCCATCGGGGTGTCCCCGTGCCCTCTGTATAGGGATGTGCATAGGGGTCCGTCAGAGTCCCCGTGTCCTCTACATAGGGGCATAGGGACATGCAGAGGGGTCCATCGGGGTGTCCCCGTGCCCTACATATAGGGATGTGCATAGGGGTCCATGGGGGTGTCCCCATGCCCTCCATAAAGGGGCATAGGGACACGCAGAGGGGTCTATCAGGGTGTCCCTGTGCCCTACATATAGGGATGTGCATAGGGGTCCATCGGGAGTCCCCATGTCCTCTGTACTGGGGCACAGGGAAACACATAGGGGTCCATCGGGGTGTCCCTGCACCCTGTGTATAGGGACACACATAGGGGTCCATGGGGGTGTCCCTATGCCCTCAATAAAGGGGCATAGGGACACACAGAGGGGTCCATGAGGGTGTCCCCATGCCCTCTGTATAGGGATGTGCATAGGGGTCCATGGGGGTGTCCCCGTGTCCTCCCTATAGGACACGCCTTGGGATCCATCAGAGTGCCCCCGCACCCTCCATATAGGGACATAAGGACAAACATGGGGTCCATCGGGGTGTCCTCCATGTAGGGACATAAAGACATGTATAGGTCCATTGGGGTGTCCCCGTGTCCTCTAATCAGGGTCATAGGGGACCATCGGGGTGTCCCCACGCCCTCCGTCCCATCCCACCGCCCCCGCGGCCACTCACCCGGTGCCCTTTGTCTCCCGGGAGCCCCGGCAGCCCGTCGAAGCCGCGGTCACCCTGGGGAGCGGCAGGAGGAGCGCGTCAGGTCCCCGAGGTGCCCGACGGGGCCCTGTGGGCTCGCATCCCGCTCCGGGAATGTCCCGCGTCCCGATCCCGCGGCTCCGTCGCTGCCGTTACCTTAATGCCGGGATCCCCGGGCATGCCGCGGGCGCCGTCAGCGCCCGGCCGACCCTGCGGGACACAGGGCGGGTGAGAGGGGGCTCCAGGTCACCCCGTGCCCCAATTCCCATCCCGTCCCATCCAACTCACCCTCCGGCCGGGCTTTCCTGGCGGTCCGGTCAGGCCCTGGGGGCCTCGGGGACCCTGCGGAGAGGGAAGACAAGGGCTGGAAAGGCTCCTATAAGGGGAGGGGTCTGCGCTGCCACCACCCTTGGGGTTGGGGGGCATGAGACCCCCCTGGGATTCAGGGATTGGATGTGGGAGGTGGGAAGGACCGGACTTGGATACCTGGGGACCAAAGTCGCCGGATTCTCCCTTCATGCCGGTGCTTCCAGGCTGCCCCTGTGGACCAAGCGCGGGGAAAGGGGGACAGTTACGTGGGGCTGGGGTCCCATCCGCCCCACATCCACATGGGGGGCCCCACCTCCCAGCCCGAATCCCGGGCKGCCCCCTCTCCTCGTCCCCACACGTCACCGTACCCACCATGGGGCCAGGCCGGCCGGTGTAGCCCATGGGTCCCGGCGGGCCGCGGAGGGCCAGCTGCGGGGAGAAGCGAAAACGGGGGGTTATTTCTCAGCAGGGAAACCCCCCCGACGTGGTGGACAAGGCAACACCGCGTCGGGGTGTCCGTCACCCGCGGCGGCTGTTGGTGCCGGCTGCGGCAGGTCCACGGTCCCGGTTACAACCACGTAGGGGTGAAGAAGGGCTTGCGGAGACCGCGTGGGGTTGAGGGAAGGGGACGTGGGTGATGGATCCGTGGGGACAACGGGGTCCCGGAGCGGAGGGCCGCGCACTCACCCGCGCTTGCTGCAGGATGGCTTGAGCCTGGGCCTCCTGCGCCGCCACCACGGGGCCCTTGTCCCCGCCGCTGCTCCCGAAGCGGAACTGCGGCACACGGGGGGCGGCGTCGGCGACGCGCCGGGGACACGGGGGTCCCCGCCGCCCCGCGGGGAGACGCCGTCCCCCGGTCACACTCACCGGCAGCATCATGGAGGTGCCGGGCGGGCCGGGCGTCCCGTCGGAGCCGGGAAGGCCGGCGCGGCCGGGGGGTCCCTGTTGGGAAGAGGGTCAGCGGGGAATGCCGTGGGCATGGAGCCGGGGCAAGGGCGGCTCCGCTGGCGCTCACCCGCTCGCCGGGCTCTCCGGGGGCTCCCGGTGGTCCCTGCGTCCCCGGCGGTCCCGACATTCCCTGGAGCGAGCGGGGACGCGGCGTGAGGGCGGCACCGGTGCCACCACGCAGCGGTGCCRCCACCCGCGCCCGCCTCTTACCGCGGGGCCTTCGGGGCCGGGGGGCCCCTCCACCAACATGCCCTGTGGGAGCGGAGAGTGGCGCTGAGGGTGTCACCGAGACGGGTGACACGGCGGGTCCCGGGGGGCCGCGGGGACGCACGTACCGGTTCGACGACGGCCGGCTCGCCCTTCTCGCCCTTGTAGCCCCTGGCGCCGCGCGCGGCCTGCGGGTAGCAGACATGTAACGGCAAAGAGGGGCCGGTGAGCGCGGGGCACACGGGGGGACACGGGGGGACACGGGGGACACGGCACGGGGACAGCCCCTGCACATGAGCGACAGCCTGGCCCCGCTACGGCCGCTGGGGATAGGGAGAAATCCTTCCCCCTTCCCCAAAGGAGAGGGAGAAGGGATTTGGGAAGGGGTTTGGAAAACAGGGAAGAGATTCGGGAGAGGGGGAAGAGATTTGGGAAAGGGGGAAGAGATTCAGGAAAGAGGGAAGAGATTCAAGGAAGAGGGAGGAGATTTGGGAAAGGGGAAAGAGATTGAAGAAAGAGGGAAGAGATTTGGGAAAGGAGGAAGAGATTTGGGAAGGGATTTGGCAAACAGGGAAGAGATTTGGGAAAGGGGGAAGAGATTTGGGAAAGGGGGAAGAGATTTGGGAAAGGGGGAAGAGATTCAAGGAAGAGGGAAGAGATTTGGGTAAGAGGAAAGATTCAGGAAAGGGGGAAGAGATTTGGGAAGGAGGGGAAGGGATTCGGAAAACAGGGAAGAGATTTGGGAAAGGGAAAAGATTCAGGAAAGGAGGAAGAGATTTGGGAAAGGGGGAAGAGATTCAAAGAAGAGGGAAGAGATTTGGGAAAGGGGAAAGATTCAGGAAAGGGGGAAGAGATTTGGGAAGGGATTTGGAAAACAGGAAAGAGATTTGGGAAGGGGGAAGAGATTCGGGAAAGGAGGAAGAAGTTCAGGAAAATGGGAAGAGATTTGGGAAGAAGGGAAGCAATTCGGGAAAGAAAGAAGGGATTTGGGAAAGGGGAAAGAGATTTGGGAAAAGGGAAAGAGATTTGGGAAAGGGGAAAGATTTGGGAAGGGGGGTAGTGACTTGGGAAAGGGGATAGTGACTTGGGAAGTGCCGTCAGCTCCGATCCCGGCTCCACGGAGACGCCAGCGTGGCGCTGAGGACGCCAGCGCGCCATGCTGGGGCTGCGGCGAGGCCGGGGACGGTGACGTCACGCGCGGCCGGGGTGACGTCACGCCGCGCTCCGGGGCCGCGACACAACGGGACACGCCGGGAGCAGCCAGCGCGCGGTGACGGACACAGCAGGACACGGCGGGAGACGTGACGGACACACGAGGACGGACGGACGGAGGAGGCGCCGAGGACGCCCGTGCCGACACTTACGCCTGCGCTCGGCCGCGTCTCCGCGGAGAGCGCGGGGCCCAGCTCCGGCGGCTCCGCGCCCTCGCCATAGTCCGTATAGACGTACTCGTACTCGGGGCCGCCCCCGGGGACCGCGTTGGCGGCCCCTTCCTCCTCCTCCTCCTCCTCCTGCTGCTGCTGCGGCCCCGGGGAGCCGGTGGCCTCGGGCGCCGGCTCGCGCCAGGGCGCCGGCGCCGGGCTGTAATCCGGGTACTTGCCGCCCGCCCAGGGCTCCTCCGTGCCGGGGGGCCCCCCGTCCTGGCGTTGGGATACGGGGTGCGAAACGGCGGTCACGGCCCCGCGGGACGCACACGCGGACAGACGGACAAGCGAAGCGGTGACGGAGACGCACACACAGCGGGTACCGCGGCGGGATCCAGCCCGGATCCAGCCCGGATCCGGCGGGATTGGGAGCTGCTTGGGAAGGCCTCTCGCTCATGGGATGGGGCCATTCGAGGTGGGGGAATAAAGGGAGGAGGGCGCGATCCGGAAAAACCGGTGCCCGGTGGCGGCTTCCCATCGCTTCCCCTTTATTTGCCCCAGCGGGACGCGGGCGAATGGCCCCATCCGGGGGTCGGATGGACAGACGGACAGGGTGGGAAGGACTGGGATGGGGAGGGAGGCGACTCCCATCCCGGCTCCCGGCGGGTGCCGGGCGGGATCCCTGCGCCTTGCTCTACCTGCCGGTAGCTGTTGCCTCCATTCCCGGCACGGCGCGGGGCGGCGGTGCTGGCGCCCGGACCCGGCGCGGCGCCGGAGCGGCTCCCGGTGCCGGGGGAATCGCCGGGGCGCCGCCGCTCCTGGGGGGCACCGGCCTTGGGTGCGTGGGGGGGGGCGCAGGAGGAAGAGGCCGGTGACGAAGGGATGGGGGACACAAAACACAGAGGGCACCCGCGGTGAGACCCCCCCAATTGGGGTGCCCCCTGCTCAATGCCCGCCATAGCCCATTGCTCCCTATGATCCAGGGGGGTGACAAACGGTGACACTGCGACAACACAGCCGGGACGGACACACGGACACACGGACAGAGCTGCCGGGGGGGCGTTACCTGCTCTGCGTGGCCCCCCAGCACCGGCCCGGCCTCGCTATTGGTGTAGTAATAGGGGTACTCGTAGTACTCCGCGTCCTCCTCGGAGTACTGCGGGCGCCGGGAAGAAGGACAACGTCACCGCGACGCGGCCGGCTTGGGGGGGGGCGTGGGGGGGTCCGGGCGTCCCCCCGCCATCGCCCTGTCCCCAGCACCCATCCCGGGTGGCCACCCTGTGAGGACGGGGGCGTCCAGGGCCACGCGGGTCCCTGAGGACGGAGGCACCGCGCGCGCATCCCCGAGGATGAGGAGGGAGGTGCCGAGCGGCCCCAAATAGCCCCAGTTTTGGGGGGGATTTGGGGGCGTGGGGATGATGCCGTGCCCCGCGCGTCCCACCTGAGGCCGCGGCGGCTCCTGCGCCTGCGGGCGCCCGTGGGCGCCGCCGCACCGGGGCGCGTAGAGCTCGCAGTACTCGCGGGCGGCGTGCGGGTCGGCGGCGATGAGCAGCTGCTGGATGTCACCCTGCAGCTGTCACAGCGCGGGTGACCCCGGGACCGTCGCCGCGGGCCGGCCCGCGCCGCGCACCTGGAACGGCTGCTCGTCCAGCAGGCGGGCGCCCAGGAGGGTGACGCCGCGCGTGTCCACGACGGGGCGGCTCGAGCGGCGCAGCGGCCGCGTCGCCACCTGCTTGCAGTCCACCAGCAGCGTCACCGACTGCTTGGTGACGCTCAGGGCCACCCGGTGCCACCTGCGGGTGGGGGGGGACGGGGCTGGTGGCCGCGGCGGCGCCTCGGGGACACCCGGCGCCACCTCGGGGACGTGCAACCCGTGCTCTCGGGGCCGCTTTGGGGACATCCAACCCATCATCTTGGCACCAATTTGGGGACATCCAACCCGTCATCCCAGTGCCACTTTGGGGACATCCAACCCATCATCCTGGCACCAATTTGGGGGCATCCAACCCATCATCCCAATGCAATGATCCTGGCACCAATTTGGGGACATCCAACCCGTGATCCTGGCGCCACTTTGGGGACATCCAACCCATCATCCCAATGCAATGATCCTGGCACCAATTTGGGGACATCCAACCCGTCATCCTGGCGCCACTTTGGGGACATCCAACCCATCATCCCAATGCAATGATCCTGGCACCAATTTGACCATATCCATCCCATCATCGTGGCACTACATTGGGTCCAACCCATCAACCCAGTGCCACTCTGCCAACACCCAACCCATCATCCTGGTGGCACCTTGGGTCCAACCCATCATCCTGGTGCCACTCTGGCAACATCCAGCCCATCATCCTGGAGCTACATTGGGTCCAACCCATCATCCTGGTGCCTCTCTGCCAACACCCAACCCATCATCCYGGTAGCATCTTGGGTCCAACCCATGATCCCGGTGCCTCTCTAGCAACATCCAGCCCATCATCCCAGTGGCATCTTGGGTCCAACCCATCATCCTGGTGCCACTCTGGCAACACCCAACCCATCATCATGGAGCTACATTGGGTCCAACCTGTCACCCTGGTGCCACTCTAGCAACACCCAACCCATGATCCTGGTGGTATACCTTGGGCCCAACTCATCATCCTGGTGCCTCTCCGGCAACATCCAAACCATCATCCCGGTGCCTCTCTGGAAACACCCAACCCATCATCCCGGTGGCACCTTGAGTCCAACCCATCATCCCGATGCCTCTTTGTCAACACCCAACCCATGATCCCGGTGGCCCCTTGGCGACACCCGGACCCGCGTCGTGGCGGCACCCACTTGCCGTCGGCGAGGTCGACGCCACGGAAGAGCGGGTAGTCCTCGGGCGCCGGGCGGCCGTGCTGGTCGGCGTAGAGGAAGACGGGCGAGCGGCCGAGCTCGACGCCGAGCTGCTGGGTGCCGTGCCGGTCGTAGATGGAGAGCAGGAAGGCTTGGAGGCCGGCCTTGGCCTTCACCAGCGCCATGATGGAGAAATCCTCGGGGAATTTACCTGGCGGCACAGGGGGGGACCCGCCGCGTTTCGGAGAAATCCCCTTGAAGGGGGGTTTATATCCCCAGGGATCCCCCGTTTGGGATAATCCACCTCAGAGGGGGGTTTTACATCCTCAGGGACCCCCCTTCTGGATAATCCCCCCGGGAGGGGATTTAAGCCCCCAAGGACCCCCCCCAATTCCAGCCCATCTCTCTGGGAGGAGGGTTTAAACCCCCAGGATCCCCCATTCCAGATAATCCCCCTTGGAGGGGCGTTCTAGATCCCCAGGGACCCCCAATTCCACCAATTCTCCCCCTGGGAAGGGGGTTATGTCCCCAGGGACCCCCCATTCCGGATAATCCCCATTGGAGGAGGGTTTAAGCCCCCAAGGACCCCCCATTCCAGATAATCTCCCTGGGAGGAGGGTTTTATATCCCCAGGGACCCCCAATTCCACCAATTCTCCCCCTGGGAGGGGGGTTTTAGATCCCCAGGGCCCTCCCATTCCGGATAATCCCCTTGGAGGGGGGTTAAGCCCCCAGGGCCCCCCATTCCGGATGATCCCCTTGGAGGGGGTAACCCCCCGTTCCCGGTCCCGCCGGTACCCGGGAAGAGCTGCCGGGTGGGCGCGCTGAGCTGGGCGGGCCGCGCCAGGCGGAAGGCGCCGCCGGGCTCCGAGCACATCCCGAGGGCGCTGCTCACGCCGGCCGGCAGCGCCGGCAGCCCCAGCGCCTCCAGCACGTCCACGGGCGGCCCTGCGGGGACAGGGACACGGAGGGGACGCGCTGGGGACGGCCGCGCGCCCCCCGCCCCGATTGCCATGTCATTGAGGGGGTGTCGGGGGCGGCACCCCCAAACTGGCCCCATCCCTGTCCCAATCCCATCCKGGTCCCCAAATTGTTCCTGTCCCCATCCACATCCCTTTCCCTATCCCAGACCCATCCCCATCCCATCCTGGTCCACAAACTATCCCTGTTCCCATCCCTGTCCCTGTCCCCATCCTCATCCCTTTCCCATCCCATCCTCAGCTCTGTCTCCATCCCCATCCCTTTCCCTATCCCAGACTCATCCCCATCCCTGTCCCCAAACTGTTCCTGTCCCCATCTCTGTCCCTGTCCCCATGCCTTTCCCTACCCCATCCTCATCCCCGTCTCCATCCCATCCCATCCTATTCCCATCCCATCCTCATCCCTGCCCCCATCCCTTTCCCTACCCCATCCTCATCCCTGTCCCCATCCCGTCCCCGTCCCCATCCTTTTCCCTATCCCATCCCCATCCCTGTCCCCATCCCCATCCCTGTCCCTAACCCATCCCCATCTCTCTCCTGGTCCCTATCTCTCTCCCTGTCCCTGTTCCCATCTGTGTCCCCATCCCATCCCTATTCCCATCCCCATCCCTGACCCCATCCCATCCCCATCCCTTTCCCTATCCCATCCCCATCCCTGTTCCCATCCCCATCCTCATTCCTGGCCCCAACCCATCCCCATCTCCGTCCTCACCCCCATCCTGGTCCCTATCCCCATTCCCTTCCCCATCCCATTCCCACCCCCATTCCCGTCCCCATCCCCATTCC